ACTTTGGAGTAACCACTCCGTTGAAGGTCATTTTTTATGATGCCTAGTTCCTTTTCGAGACCTTCCTTTGTATTACAGAGCCCGAAAGCACGATCTGGTAGAGTCTTGATGATTCTTCTCTTAGTCGACTGATGGTGGTTGGATTTCTGGTTCAGATACTGTCCTGTGGGTTTTCAAATCAATTTATATTATATTAGATAATGGAAGTCAGAACTGATGAAATATACCACGAAACATTGTCAACCACCTTAAAACAAACTAAACTTATTGAATCGTTCCTAACCCAGAGATTCATTTACTTTACCAACTATCAGGTATATTGCCAGATCTTCACAATTTATTGCTTCCAAATATCCGTTAAAATTATTCACATATTACAACCAACAGAGATCATCATTCTTCCAGTCCTCAGTTCAACTTCCCTTTCAGATGACCGGCTCCGCTTTCGATGTCAGAACAAAAAACCTCAACCTGAATCAAAACATCGAGACCAAATGGATCAGCCATAATTCACGAATAAAAAATTCCTCGGTAAATTATTGAAGGCTATTGGTAAAATTCAGGGTATACGTTCTCCAAGCCAAACCGAAATCATTAATCATTTATGTTTCGAGAGCGGGTTATGTATAGAGAGGGTCGAAACCCCATAAGGGATACGTTCAAAATAGTAATGTGGGATTATAGAGGTTCTAATGAATTCGAATTTGGTTCGTTTCCGCGGCTCTGGAATCGTTAATAAGATCATATGGGATTATTGAAGTATATTCTCGCAGATGGAAACAATTTGAACATACTGAGATAGTAACATAATCAAGGTAGGCAAAAAGACTATATTGTTTTACAAGAAAGGGTTCGGTTCGCAAATAATCATTTTGCATATGGAATATACAGGGTAGGCCATTGAGAACGAAGCCAAAATTAGGTACTTTTCAGGCGCTTTTTAGATACCGAAGTCAAAAATTAGGTGCTCTGTAACTTACACCGCAACTCAATACTCAAAGTTGCGTTGCTAGCATTGATGTGATGCTACCAACGTAATGAAAATAATATTAAAATAATGAATGTTGAGGAAACACTATTAGGTGCTAATTAAGTGCTAAACGGTGGGGATCGTAAAATTTTCTAATTAATAAACAAAAGCTTCCAGTTCCGCTAAACAACAGATCTAAGAATCAGGTCTCTCGAAAACGAGGACGAATGCTCTATCAAGCATAAACTAAGCGTGGTAATAAAGTGCCAATTAGGTGCTTGCAAGAAATCAAGATGTAAACGACCGCGAATAAGCTAAAAAAAATCGAGATACCTGAATTGAGAAAAACAATTTGAATTAAAGTCTAGAGATACTCGTAAACTAATACATAGACAATCAAAATAAAGTGCTAATTGAGTGCTCACCGGTCGGTAGCCGGGCGGTTCGACGTGGGTGCTTTGTTCACTCAGTCAATCGGCCGATGTGTGAGTCGATGGTTCAAGCCCCAGGCTGAACGGTCAATTCTCACTTGCTATCGTCCAACCCGTGTTAGGAATCACACGTTAAAAGGCAAGACCTCATTAGTTCTTAGCTCGCACAAGTTTCGATTTCTGAGGGTTATCGTTCGTAGGGGTGCGATAGCTGGTTACCAGAAAAAACATATATTTCAAACATTTTTTTCAATGGTGGTTATCGGGTCCATAAGCCCCATATGAATTATGGAATCTAGATTTACTATAAATATCTAATGAGCACCTAATTAGCACTTTATTCTCATACCCNTTTTTCATCCATCCCACCCCAGCCAGGTAGGGGTATCCCGTGAAGGGCGGCACTGATGTCTAAGGACTTCATGCCGTCACCAATTCAGTCATGAACCCATTGGTCCCTCTCAAGACCAACAATCAGCCAAAAGGGTAGGGGAGCTGGTCTCCAAACCTGGAAGAAATCACGATGACACTCTGATAAGTCATAGTGGTTTTCCCTCATGCCCCATAGGCATTACGAAATCTAGGTTTACTATCATTTATCTAGTGAGCACCTAATTAGAACTTTAATTTCTTGTCCTTATTCATTAAATAACGTAATATAAAAACTCAGTACATCAGTCATGGTGGTTTTCAGGTAACTGTTGCCACAGCTACCCCGTACGGGGTAGTTCTACCCCTCTTGGACTTAATTTCACCCTCTCGCTCCCCTCAAGTAATTCTACCCCGCTCAGATACAGAGCAAAAGAATGTAAAATAATGTTATGTAAAATAGTCAAAAACAA